GCAGAATGTTCCCACAAATACAATACTGAGGGCAGAAAATCACCGTCACTATGTGAACCTTTTCAGCATCCCCGTCTCCACTGTGAGACCCTATTTAAAATTTAGAACAGGAAGCACTTCTTTACACAAAGGGCTATGGGATTCTGAACAAGCTATCAAGCCGAGTTCCTTGGCTTCTTTCAAGAAACAGCTGGAAGACATCCTTAGATAACTGAGCTGCTAGCAAATTTACAAGCTAGATGATGCGAATGGCATCACCACATTTCTAAATCCTGCTTGGCTTAAGAACAAGTCCCGCTTAAGTCCAAACTACAAATCTGGTGGACAAAGACAAAGGTCGTTAAAATTAAAAATCAATGTATTTTTCTAGGGAATCAAGAGCTTGCGTTGGGTATAATCCACGTGCAAGTGAGGGGGAAAACCTTAAAACTTGCAGAGCCAGGAGATCTGAGCTTCTCAGTACCAGCAGCACAGCAACAACACTCGAGGAAGATCACTGGCACTTGCCACAAGCACAAGCAGGGCCCATGAGTTCCAGGCCAGTTAAAAGACCTCCTAAAAACCACTGACCACACAAATTCACTCGACCCCAGCAGAGACTCACTGGCTGTGGGCTGCCGCAAATACGGTAGACTAATGACACTGCCGAGATCCGAGCCAGTGGATTCTGACCCTCAGCACTTCAAATGGGTACCTTCACAGAAGGTTAAAAAGTTCCATAAAGAAAAGGAATAAGGGTTATGCTACTTAAAGAGCTGTAATGTGAAATGATGCAGAACACAATTTTACAGACCCTTGCCTCTTAGGGAAACCAAAATTCCCTATGCTGAAAACAGGAAATGTTTTCAGTGCTTAGTTTAGTTTACTTTGCTCTCAAACATAATTCAAGCACAGGCCCTAGTATCTACAGGCTTTATGTTTATTTTTATGTCAGTATCAGTTAAATTCTTGGATTATATTAAGATTTTTTTTTTAAATTTACGCCACACAGATTTAAGCTCTTTAAACAGAAGAAACTGAAATTTTTTAATATATAGCCTCGCATGTCAGTATCCTAGTTACTGGTAGATTCAAGAGAAGAAAACAGCTAGCCCGTTTTTTACCTATCTTGTTTCTTAAACAATGGTATTTTTCAGAAAGTGTGCTGGCCTTCCAGCAATCTGTTGCAAAGATGCAATACGATTGAGCATTTATCTTTTCCCCTCTCCCACGAGACTGCCTCTGTGAGTTAAGGCTCGTGTGAGGGAGAACAGCTTACAGTGTTCTGCCCCGCAAAGACCTTTGTGACAAGAGAAGAATTTAAAGTTGGCCTTAATCTGAAAGAAAAGGGGTGTCAGGTCAGCTTTACACTTATAAAGAGTAGTACTGCTTATTACACAGTGGAGCCTGACCATACGGTACGAGTTTGGTTGAGATTTGGTACAAGTTGTTTAACAAATAATTTTATAACTCATTTTTTTTCTCTGACAGATGTGCATCTAGGAAACATTGTGGATTGTACCTTTCAGCATGGAATAACCTTTCCTTACTTCTTTTAAAAGATTCCTTGCATTTCCTACAATTTCATGATGTATAAAGTAGTATCAATTTTTGGGGACTCTCTTACAGTACATCATAGCAGTACCCCACGATAACCAGCGCCTTCACGCAGATCAGTGGTAGGAATAATGAACAGCATTAATAATGACGAGCATCACTTATTTCTTCTTGCTAAATGGACATCCACAGCATCAATTTAGCCAAGGCGGATCCCCATATTTACATTTTAATTTCTTTCAGTACAAGGGCAACATTTGAAATGCTGTGCTGTCCAAATGTCCCTGTAATTATGGAGCCAGATGGCCACAATGCATTGAGGCAAGTCATCTAGGGAAAAAGAAATTTTCATTGATTTAGTATAAATGTAATTAGTTTTGTTTTAATGTACATTTTTTTAAATCATTGCAGGGACAGAGACTAATCATCAGTTGGCAGGACAAAATGAGAGCAGTGCCCACTTGCGCTAATGGAGTCTGGAGTTTTAGGAGGAGAATTAAAAAGAGGAGCATCCTGGTCACAACAGGACAGAGGGGTCACCTCAGTGCCAGTGCCTCTATGAGGTCGCAATGATGTACCTTACATTTACCAGAGTATACAGTATGAGCACTATGGGACAAGCCTACATTTAAGAGTTTTCACAGTTTAAAACCAGGACAGAGGACAAAAAAAAAGTGAACTGTTGCTGGGTGGGGCTACAATTCAGGAATATCCCTAGCATCTGCAAGATCAAAGTTTATTCTTATAGTAGTAGCAGGTGCTTTCTTGGAGTATATATATGTATGTACATCTGAAAAAGTTAAGATTGACACCAGATTCAAATTTGGACTTCAATGGAAGGAACAAATTGTTCTCTATAGTAGCTCAAGCCAGTAATATACAGTTACTGGAAGTTTCAAGGGAAGTAAATTACTCTCTGGTTCCTTACCGATCTTGTTTTTTTAAACAATGTTGTTCTTCAGAGGGTGTTCTTAAAGCTGACTTTAGACTTTGTATGAAAGGCTGTTATGGAGCTCTGGAGACGGAGAGGAGGGAGAATGGGAGACACTGACGAGTATAGTGTGAGAGAGGGAGAGAGGAACTGGTGACCAAATAACAATCGGAGTGAGAGATAAAGAGGGAGAGCCGGAGAGGTGCTGTAATTAGTGTTAATTACCCCTGCTGACACGCAGGAACAGCTGGTCTGCCGTGTTCATTAGCAGAGCTGCCTGTCGATCACAGACCCTGGATCGTTATTCCAGGGCTGAAGCCCTGACAATAACAAATCAGTGGACACGGCACGACCGTTAATCAAACACGGCCAGATGCTGTTTTAAGCGTATTGATTCCCGTCATTGGGGCTCCTGCAGCTGCAAAGACAAACGATCAGCGTTGCCACCCCAGCGCCACGCTACCAGCTGGACAGACGACGCTGCGCTGATGCCAGGGCACGAGCCACGCGAGCGCCTCGCACCTCGCCAGGAGAAACATCACGCCAGCGCCACATCTCCGCGCTAGACCTGTGTGCCAAACTTGAAGTTTAGCTTAAATGTACCAGTGAAGCTCAGCTTAAAATTGATCGACATCTCAACCATGGCTCTTCAGACATGCCTGCTGTACTTTCCTAATTATGTCTCCTCTGTGGATAAGATTATCATATATAGTTTTCTGGAAGAGTTTTCTTCCATGCTTGTCTTTGAAATGAACATTGTGCTGCAAGATTCTGGTTGTTAATCAATATTACATCAAAGTTAAATAAGGACATTTTCTTTCTTGTAAATTATAAAATGACACAAAAAACTATACTAATGGCACATTAGTCAGTATGACTTTCCATGGAGCACAACTGATTTCCTGATCTCTTCTTGATCTCCTTGAGTCTTGTCTCTAAGTTTGACAGAAGCAGCTATCTGCCAGCCCCAGGACTGCAGGAAGTACTTTATCTTTTAGTGCCTCTTCTATGTGCCTTCGTAGTCACCAGCAGTGCAGAGCACCACACTAGGGAAGATCACATCACAAGGTCTTCATAATAACCAGCAATGCACAGCTCCAGAGTTTGCAATGCGAAAGATTATCATTTGACTCTGCTGTTTAGTTAGTTGCCCAGTCATTTGTTTTACTACCCAGTGGACCACTGGACACCCCCAGGTGAACATGACCTGATCTCAGCATTTCTGTGCCTGTTCCCGTTTACTGCATGTCGGAAAACTAGAGTGGCCTGCGCCTCCTTGTGCATCGTCTTAATGGGCAAAACAATCTCCAGACAACTCCCGTCAACAGGCTGCCTGCCAACAATTCCCTTCGACTGACTCATGTCCCCTCATTCCCCTCCCTCCATCCACAGTGAGCAGCCATTTCAAAAGACCGGAGGGACGAATTACAAAGGAAGACGGCTTTGTAAATTAAGGAGACAGCTGCTCTCTCACAGGTTAATTCTGCTGCCACTTTTCTAACAGCCACTCTGGGTATAGCCTGTCTCTCTGTGGTCAGGATTCATCCTCTTCTCAGTTAAACAGTCTCATGCTCAGGTTTGGAGATTATGAGCTAGTATTATATATTATATATTATATATAATTATCAGCTCCTTGCAAACATAAAAGTATGATCTTTCATTTGGTCTATTGATCTGTGTCTGTGGTTTGCAGTTATTTCTGAAGCCTAATGATTACATCTCCCTTCTTACTTTTACCACAGTCTCCTGCGGCACCTTAACTTGCAGTAGTACGTTTACTGTAAACCCCTGATTTAACATGAACGGTCTCCACTGCACTTTTGCTATAATAAAAAGGAGGACTTCCCTGTAACTTCACACTATGACTGTAACAGCACTATTCTGCTGCACTAATAATATTGCCCCCTATTGGAAAGTAACCGGCAGAGTCTGTTTGTAACAGGCCTAGCCTGCTCTCATCACAACCCCACAGTAAAAGTCAGGACTTTCTCTTGCTGGTAACACTGAAAACTCGTGACTGCAAAGCCATGCCAACCACAAGGGACACTTTAAAGTCACAGAAACCCAGGTTAGCCTTAATCCTACACAACCCTGGCAGGAAACGGCGTGCCATCCCTCGAAAAATCCCAGCTACAGTAATCCAACAACAGTAATACAGCCCCAAGATGTGATTCATAACCATCCTTTGACTGCTGAGCCAGTAGGGAAATTATTTTTTTTATAATACCTATGGGAACTCTATTGTTGCGGGAAAGATTCTAAACATAAAACACATTTTAATAGCTTTTGAAAAATGAATGTGCATACCATTTATATGCCTCTATCCATCACCGTGCCCTTTTTTGGAAGATAGAGAAACCCACACGAACATGTAGACTCCACACAGGAGGTGCTCCAGTCCAGAACTGTACCCAGAGTCCAAGAGCTTGAGGTGTGGTATCCGATTTATACATCAAAAATCCCCTTTTCAATGATGGGAGGTTTGAAATGCAGAAGGGGGGTTTCTAATGACAGCATGGCAGTGAGTTCTCACCTGAACCAGAAACCAGGAGATCAGCACAGCCACCCAGGGATTGCCACTGCGAGAGGTCCTTTTCGCCGGGGATAACACCCGCCCTGGAGGGCAAGAGAGCCAGACACAGAGAGAGAGAGAGAAGAAGGAATACAGAAGAGACAGAAACAGGAAAAAAAAAAGAAAAAGTTGAAAAAATTGATTATACAGCATCCGGGGCAGAGACATATGGTGCCTGAAACAGGAGCTTTAAATAACCGAGTCAGCGTGAGAGCAAGTCAGTCGGGGAGGGATGGCAGAGGGCAGCCTAGACGATCCATCAGCCGGCAAGGAGCGCGCGCTGCCAAGGTCACCCCGCGTGTGCCCGGGCAGGTCCGCAGAGATAGCCCCACCCCTGCCCAAGCCTGGCAGGAGCACCGCGGGGACCAGCTGAGCCTGACCTCCCTGCCCCCAGCTCCACCGCCGAAGAGCAGCCCGCTCACCTCTGACAGCGCTGGCTTTTAATTCCATTACTCACGTCCGGCTCGGAGCAAAATCAATCGCCTGGTTAGACACTGATTTTTATACACGGGGCACAACCCTTTAAAAGGCAGAAGTAAATGAAATTCTAGTGCTTTGAATAGAGTCCAGGGTCACGACTCTTCTACACAACAATGCTAACTCCCTATCAGAAAGACTCAAACATTTTTAACGGAGGACAAAAAAAATGTTCCACATGCATCTTGAGATTTCATTCCCAAGTTCAAAATCCTGACAAAGCCAACCAAACAGATGGCTTATGGTTAAAAACAAGCAACTGAACTCATGAGAAGAATGGTTTTGGGAGTCTTCACACTGTGATTGGTTGGAGGTCTGGGGTCTTAAGACAAGCACTGAACACACACACTGACACTCCTGATACAATCCGCCCATCAAAGACGGAGAGCTCAGGTAAAACTCTCGCGTGGCTCCAGCAGTGACGTCAGCCGAAGTCTCTTGAATTAACGGTGTCCAAGTGCAGCTCTTAACACGCATGCTTAAAATGCAATTACCCCCTAGGACACAATTAGCACAAATTAATTAGTACATGCAAATGACGCACATGGAAACTGCAAGAATTAATATTTCAAATGAGCTAGAGGGAACAAATGGCCTGCTCTTGTTTGTAAATGTTCTTAAGCTATTAAAAAATAACTACACATTTCTGAGTGTCAGTTTCATAATTGGCATAAATGAAAAAAAGTTTATTTGAAAGTAGTTACCAAAACACGATAGATGGACCAAATAGCTGCCTCTTACCTGTACCATTTCTTATCATCAATGTTCTTAAATCAAATCATGATGCTTGACTTGAGTTTCAGAAGCAGACTGAAATGAGTTCTCAATGATTTTCCAGCCACAAGAGAGTTTCGTGTCCCTTCAAATGCAGCCTTTCTGTAACCAATTTCTTTACATATTGGACATTTTTAAAGTTGGTCAGAAATGTTGCTTGCACAAGTAGCATAAAATAGGTCATTAAAACAAACTTTTTCTTACTCATCCTGAAATTATTAGAACAGTGAAACACCGTCCGTCTGTTGGCACGGAGTACAGATCCTTGTAGACTTCGATTTCCGCAAAGTCAATGGGTCAAGCCGGATCTACTGCAGAGCAATAAAAAGACTTGCAGAACTACAGTGCTTTTTCTCCCCTACAGCTTTGCAAACTGACTTACCAGCTGCAAGCATTAACACACCAACCTTCTCTCACGGGCTCGACTCGGCTCTTGCCCTCTGCACCAACACTACAGGAGAGGAGAGTGGTGGGCTCACCAAAGAGGTCGTCCCGGGCCAGGGCGTACAGGATACGCGACGCCCCGATGAGGTTGCTCATGGCGGCAGAGAGGGTGGAGGAGTAGATCCCGATGGTGACAAAGGGGTGCCATAAGTTGATGTCCCTCAGGAAACTGTAGTCCTTCTGCAGGAGGAGGCTGGGGAATGGAGAGAGGAAAGAAGGGTTTGGAGAGCAGAGATGTGGCAGAGGAAGAGGGAGAGGCAAGAGAAACGGGAAGACAGGAGGAGGAGGAAAATGCAAAAGGGAGAAAAGAAAACAGTGGGGGTTCTATTTGAGTATGGTGAGGATTGAATGATCCTGAAAAGTCCACCTGAGCACAGGCAGAACAGTATAAGAGAAAGGAGAGTGAGGTTGAGACAGACCGAGGAGGGAGAAGAGAATAAAGGAGGTGAGAAACTGGACAGCAATAATTAAAAAGGAACACGAGCGAACAGCCAGGACAAGTGGCTGTGTAGAAACCTGGACTACGTTCTGCCCTTCCTACGGGAAAGCCCAGAACTCAGCTAGACCCCGACACTGCAGATCACATCTAAATCCTGCAATCCCACTTAATCACCATGGCTGGCACAAAACAAAAGGAAACTATATATATATACTTTAAGCTTTTCAATTTGATCCGATACCCAGGCATCTACATTGAGATGGCAGGGAAGGCAGGGTGTGGATGTTTCCCACAGGCAATTGCAGTGCCAACACCATCGAACGGCAGAATGAGGTGTTTCCACCCAGAGAAGGGGAGTGAAACACTGCTACAGTCTGAGTGCCACCATGTTAGATATCTATGTCCACCAGCTAGCCAGATCTGGAACAGTCCCTGGGGCCTGGACTCTCCCTCGACCACACACAGATGAAGAAGCGGCCACCGTCCACCGTCTTGTTCCAATTTCAATTGGAAAACGATCAAGAATGCCCGATTGAGGCTCCCGTTTCATCAGGGCCCGAAGCTTGTACAGGAAGAGTTTATCAGGACCTCTCCCATCTCTCCACCTTAGAACCAGGGGGTGCGAAATGACAGCAGGAACAGAAGGGTGGGGGGGGGGTTCAGTTTTCTCTAGACCTTCTTTTGTGAGCTGACATTCCCGACTGAGTCTGCCAAGGGTGACTCCTCAGGGATTTCAACCCTGCGCAATCTCCTCCTGCTACGCATTATTGGCACCCTCCAGTCTCTGGAGCTGGGTTATAATGACAAGCGTTCAGGCAGTGAACGACGGCCCAGAGAGAAGTGCAGCTGTACAACAGCAGCCGTAGGGACAGGGTAGTGGCCCTGTGGCTATTCGTTCACTGATCACCGCAACAGCGAAGTAACACCATAGGCGGATAACTCCATTACCAGTGGACCTCCAATTTCTTATTTTGGCACAATAAACACCGTTCCAGCGAGCGGGAAAATTTAAACCCATCCCAAACCTGTCCTCTTTAAAAACGCCGCATTCTGAACTGGGCAGCATGGGCTTGTGCACTTTTGTATAGATTCTCAGTGGTCACTAGCAAGTCCAAAAGTATATTCAAGTACATCACCACTTACAGTAAGCTCTGCCAAATATCACATAGCGTACCCTGGGGGAAAAGCTGTTATCTTCTTGTCACTGGCAAGAGCTAAAGACAGGAAGGGAATCGCTTCATCTTCATTCACATTTTCTGTATCAATCGCTACATTTTTTGGAATAGTGCCTTTTGTGACCTGTGTTTGACGAGTGGCGATCACAGCCTTTTAGCCAGTCCAATACGGCTCCAGTCTCCTCACATCAAGAAGCGAGGAGCCAAACAGGCAGAGCACTGCCAGCCTCAGACTGTCTGCAACTGTTTCTTTACAAATTCACAACAAAATCTCTGTTCTACTACCTCCCCCCCACCACAAACTCGTTCAAGCATGCTGGGTGACAATCTTGAGTGCAAGTTGGGTAAAGAAAGGCAGTACTGAAGATGTACGGTACTGCCATTTCCCTTACATACCTCGGTAAAGGAAATAGCTAATTGCAGAATAAATAAAGAGCAATAAACCTGTTCTGCTGTAATGCAGCGGTTCCTGGACAAATGGAGAGCGCGCGACCTATTAAAAACTACTGAATTCAAGACCTGTGGGCTCTTTAATCTAAAGTGGTGTGGTCATCGTTGATGTGGAGGCAGCAGCAGCAGCTCTGCACACACACAGACAATTCTCCCCGTGTGCATTATTACTGGAGGTAGTCATTTCTGTTATCCAGAGGAAATCGCGGTTCGGTTCAAAGACCGTGCAATCCGGCAAACCACCTCACACAACAAAACAAACGCGCGGCACAGAAACATTTCATTAACATTATTTCCAGTCGCGTGGCACTGGTAATTGCAGAGGGGGGAAAAAAAAACTCGTTAACTACGGACGCGTTTGTGTCTCGTTCCGCCTGTGTGAGTTTGCCAGCTTCGAGGCGCAGATGATGCGCCGGCACAGCAAACACCGAGCACAAAGTGGAGCCCACACAAACACAGCTGGGTCTAACAGGCTAGTCTTGCATTGCTCCCCTGAGCTGGGTCTGGGTACTTCTTTACAGCCGGGCTTGGGACTCAAATCCTATTACCCGTGCCTATTCGCGGTTGACCTGTATGTGAATTAACTTCGCTCACCCTAACAACACACCCCTCCCTCCCCATGCTGTTTACACTGCACCCCTCCCCCCTCCCACCTGCCTGTTTATTTAATTTCCCTGCCGTCTGATCAGCCTCACATTAATGTGATGGAGGGAGAATAGCAGCGCGCCGCACTAAAGCATTTCAATCTGTGTGAGCGATGACCTCTCCACAGTGCCGGAGCACGCTGGCCGCAGCCAGCCTGAATAATGACTGTGCATTAAGGTATTAGAACATGACAGGAGAAATTCCAAACGCGCCTTCGCTATTAATCAAACCGACCCGCACCCCTTCGCCTCCTCTCCGCGCGCACTCCCTTCCCTCAGCCCACGCCACCGCTGCTCCTGGTTTTCCTTCCTTCCTGTTCTTTTTACATTGCTCCAACCTTCTTCCTTCCTTCCCGTCCTCTCAACAAGATGGCACATCACATCTAAAAGTCATTTGCGGAGGGTCGTTTTCGTTTCTTGCCATAACGCGTAGCCAGTGCGACATAAGCAACACTTCTCCCGCAGAAGGGACCGCAGGGCAGTGCTCGGGACACGCCAGTCCACACAGGACAGTGCCCAGGGCCCAGAGAGAGACGCTGTCAACCTGAGCAGGACAGTGCTCAGCAATGGGACAGAGGTTTGTGGGTATTTAAGCACACTGTATTCTTTATATAGATTAGTGTTTGCTGTGGATCCAAACACATTATAATGAAAACTTCTTGAGCAATGCTGGGCCTACAGGGTAGAACTCATAACTGGCCAGTACTTTTTCGTCTTTTGAAAGGGATAGTCCCAAGCAGGGAATAATATTCAGCCCCGCGTTATACACGCAAATCACCTCATTTTTGCTGTCCATCCACAAAAGCAAGTCTTTTAGTCTGCAAGTGAATGAACCAGCAGCAAGATTACTACAAAACTGTTGGGTTCTGAATGCTAACATTCTACTATTAAAGATGCTGTATAACAGTAACAAGTAAACATACGTCTATGCAAGAAGTCCAGTTTTAGATTGAATACGGGGAGCTAACAGTGCCCTGCTTTAGCCCTGTTTATTAGAATCTTTATTTTTACCACGTTTTGCAGCTCAATATTTAACGGTTTGGAATTACTCAATTACCTGCCTCTTGGAGAGCTGCTTTCCAGATTGTTGGGTTTTATTTTGTTTCATCTCGGGATTAAAGGAGATGTTAATTCAACTCTGCAGGGTCGGCATTTTACGTCACTCAATCACAGGCCTGAAGGTGCGAACAAGCTTTTTTCATTTTGTGGTACATCTCCCTCAAAATATATACCGCACATACATCATGCACTATATTCGGGTGTTCCAAAAGGCATTTTAGCCACCTATAAAAAACTGCTGTGCTATTTTCCTCCAAGTTATTTTTTTCAAGGAGCCAGATCTATCCACTGTCTGTCTTCCCCAAATCAGGAAATATTTCCTACGCGTATAGTTTAATAAATGACTTTCAGTAGCCAAAAAACAACACACGGTCCCTTTTATTGTGGATATACAGTTACTGTAGATATATCTTAATTCATTGCAAGTGTAAAAAAAGAACTTGGCTGAGAAGCACATGGCCCTAATGTGGTCTCTTTGCTCAGGCCCCGGTAGCCCGACTCACGCTGGCTATTTTCTCCAAGGCTTGCGCAGTGTTTTCAGTATACAGTACAGTTGCACAGCACTGAAACAGCACCCTAAGGTTCAGCGACCATGCATGAGCACAAACTGCACTGAGCTACAGGCAGTGAATCGGCAATACAATACTTCCATTACGCCCAAGATGACACAATGTACAGAAATTAATCGCCTTTAAAATATTTTTCCCCATCACTTCCGTAAATGCTGGCAAAACACATTGTAAGTCTGGGGGTTTAAGCTACAGCAACACAAAACACATACAAGAGACGCACTTAAACGATCACTCCTTCTCCAGCGTCTACCTCGAAGATGGGGGCGAGACGCCACTTGGGGGGCCGCCAGACTGGGAAATCGCAGTGCGAATCCATAGAAATGACAGTTGGAGCTAGCTCTCGCCGTCTCACTCGCACCGTCTCTTTAATTAAGAATCTCATCACGTTTGTTTCAGGTTGAGCAGTTTTAATCCTTATCATCACAAACCTATTAAGTATTGTTAGGTCGATACAATGATTTGAACACAATTATTCCATGCAAAAGATAAAAAAAAAAGAAAAACCAAGCAGCAGTGCAGTAAAATCCGTGGAGATAATGGAGATTGTTCTACCCCCACTCCTGCCCAACGCCACCCCAGCGAGGCCAGACGGAGAGGCCCCGAAGAGTCGCACTGCTCTCTCAAATTCCCGTTAGTCATAAGGGGGCATAAAAAAGAGCTATGCTTTGTTAAATCACTGATCAATACAAACATTGCCCACCCTCCTGCATTCCCACACCTCTCATCTCACACCAGCGCCAATTAACCTACCAGCATGTCTTGGGACTGCGGGAGGAAACTGAAGCATCTGGATGAGACCCCTGCGAACACAGGGAGAACATACAAACTCCACACAGACAGCATCCCAGGTCCAG